AGATAACTGAAAATATATTCTTTTATAAGATTCGCCTTCCTAAAAGCGAATGAATCCCCAACCAACTATGGACATTTTTGGGGAGTAGCCCGCTTCCCATTACTCAATAGAGCAATTCCTCGCACATAATTAAGGGAGCCATTGAAAGGTGACTCGGGGAATCCGTGGCGTGGTAGCTTCTTTCTGTTCCAAAGCAGCTGCTCATGAATGTGAATGAGTTTGATAAGAGAAAGAGTAGACGTCGAATTGAGAGTTTATGCCTATATCCCCCGATCGGGCTTAGATTAGAGCATTTCATTTCACCCATCCTGGTCGAGAAGAAATGCGAAAGGAAAGGAAGGAGGCGCTACTGATCCCAACAACGGCTATTTGAACACCGTTTACTGTACTAGCGGTTGCTGATTCAATTGGCTTAGATTCAATAGCTGCCGAGTCGATAACCGGATTCTTCAGTAAAGCTCTCGGAAGGTTAGGAAGGACAGGGCAAGCTGGCTGACCCTTCCCTTTGCTTTCAATCTGTCTTGTGCCACTCCAGCTTTCACTCAAGCCATTCTATTCTTTGAAATTTCACTTCTTATCTCGAGCCGAAAATAGAGGGGCCAGGGAATTTAAGGAATCAGCGGTGTGGATGGGCGAGGCTGCTAGTCTAGCTTCAGTCTTTATTAATGGGATAGTCCCTCAGGTTCCGTAGTTTGAACAATTTCCTTTGCTGTAGCAAGCAAGTCAATTGGACGAGGTAAACTGATTCCTAATACATAAAAATCAATTCAAATTGAAAAAAATAAAACAAAGGTGAGAAGTATACCAAGATTGAAGACTCAAAGCAAGCACAAAATCGAGTAGACTCGAAATTCCCGAAGAAAACCACGAGAAAGAAGAGCAAACTCAATGAAAATGGAGTATGAATAAAGTTTGGATGGTAATTTAAGGGAAAATAAGGGTGAATTTGAGTAAAATTGAGTGAAAGAGATGATTGGGGGTTAGGGTTTGAGAGGAGGTAGAGAGAGAATGGGGAAAATTAAGACTGAAGGGGAAAATAAGAGAGGCGAGAGAAAGAGAGGGGAACCGGGTAAATTAAAACCCAGATCCCCGCGCCCTCTCTCGACAATGCTGGGCCCGCTCCAGTTTTGCCGCGCCCTCGGAGAGACCGCGGGGCAACCACGGAGACTTCCTGGAAAAATCCGCAAATTTTATACCTGACCATGTGTCGCGCCCTCTCTAATTCTCCTGCGCCCGCTCCAAAATTGTTGCGCCCGCGGAGAGACCGCGGATAGACCGCGGAGAGTTCCTGATCCAAATTTGAGAAAATGAGCCACGCCCTCTCTAATTCTCCCGCGCCCTCCCTATTGCACCCGCGCCCGCGGAGAGCCTGCGGAGAGCTACTGATCCGATTCCCAAAATTGAAAGCAAGGGCACCCGAGGCCTCTCCAAGCCCGCCGGGTGCCCTTTCCCCTGCACTCTTAAACTTCTTATCACCCTCAACAAACACATTTAGTCCATATATGATGAATGAAGGCACCCTACAAAACAAACCAAAAACACAAGGAAGGGTAAGAGCTAAAATCAACAAAAAACCAAAAATAAAAGAAAGAAAGGAAAAGAGAGTAGAGGTGAGAATCCGGGTTGCCTCCCGTAAGCGCTTTTGTTTAACGTCGTTAGCTCGACGTTTACCACCCCACTCAAGGTGGTTTGAAAAGAATCATCTTATGATTAAGACCAATAAACACTCCGTCAAAATATTTCTTAAGCCGATGACCGTTAACCTTGAAAGAAGATGAGGAATCCAAAGGAGAAATCTCCACGATGCCAATAGCAAAAACATCTTTCACCAAGAAAGGACCACTCCATTTTTACATGAGCTTTCCGGGAAATAACTTCATTCTCGAGTGGTAGAGGAGGACTTTATTACCCACATAAAACTCCTTCTTTTCAATATGCTTATCATGAGCTTCTTTGGAGCGAGCCTTGTAGGTGCTAGCACAGTCATAAGAATCAAGCCTAAGCTCCTCTAGCTCATGAAGATCCAACCACTTTTTCTCCCCCGCACTTTCTAAATCAAATTTTATCTTTTTGATAGCCCATAAAGCACGGTGTTCTAGCTCCACCGGGAGATGGTAAGACTTGCCATAGACAAGGCGATATGGAGTGGTACCAATAGGCGTCTTGAAAGCCGTCCTATAAGCCCAAAGAGCATCATCTAACTTGTCCGACCTATCCTTTCTATTCCTTGCAACCGTCTTCTCAAGAATGAGCTTTTTTGACAATTGGAGACCTCGACTTGGCCACTCAATTGAGGATGATATGGGAGGCCAAACCGTTGATGTACTCCATGTTTCCTCAACATCTTTTGGAAGGCGTTGTGAACAAAATGAGATCCGTTATCGCTTATCACAGCCTTAGGAACGCCAAACCTTGGGAAGATTATTTTGTTGAACAACTTCAACACTACTTTGTGATCATTGGTAGGGGAGGCAATGGCCTTAACCTATTTAGAAATATAGTCCACAGCCACAAGTATGAATTGATTACCATATGAAGATGGGAATGGTCCCATGAAGTCAATCCCCTAAACATCGAACACCTCTAGCTCAAGAATGGGCTGTTGAGGCATCTCATTCCTCTTGGAGATATTCCCAACCCTTTGACATCGGTCGCATGACTTTACAAAGCCCCATGAATATTTGAAGAGATGTGGCCACCACAAACCACATTGAAGAACCTTAGTGGCGGTTTTTGAAACGCCCATATGACCTCCACATGGATCCGAATGGCACATCTTTAGAACACTTGGAACCTCTTCATTCGGGACACAACGCCGAAGCAAGCCATCCACCCCGCGTTTATACAAGATTGGTTCATCCCACAAGTAATGTCTTGCCTCCCTCTTGAGCTTCTTCTTTTGGTTCTTGGAGAAAGAAGGTGGAAACTCCCCACATGCTAGAAAATTTACCAAGTCGGCATACCATGGGAGATCCTTAACCTTAATGGCATACAAGACATCATCAAGCATTCTATCTTCTATTTTAAAAGTTTGTAATTCAAGAACCCAACAAATCAACCTTGGCTTGGACTCTTTCTTGGCAAAGAGATACTTGAGAGCCGCATGATCCGTGAAGACAATGGTCTTGGAACCCAAAAAATAACACCGTAATATCTCGAAAGAGTGAACAATGGCAAAGAATTCTTTTTCCGTTGTTGTGTAATTCTTTTGGGCCCCATTTAGTGTCTTGGACATATAGTAAATGACATAAAGCTTCTTCTCCACATGTTATTCCAAAACACCTCAAATTGCCCAATCACTAGCTTCACACATCAATTCAAATGGTAGATCCCATCCTGGGGCTTGAACAATGGGGGTAGAAATCCTTGATGAATCTTCTATAGAAACCCGCATGACCCAAAAATGATCTCACTCCCTTGACATTCACCGGAGGTGGAAGCTTCTCAATAACTTCAATTTTGGCCTTATCCACCTCTATTCCTTTGTGAGAGATCTTATGCCCAAGCACTATCCCTTCCTCCACCATGAAATGGCACTTCACCCAATTCAAGACAAGATTAACCTTTACACACCGAGCCAAACATTTCTCAAGATTAACTAGGCACTGTTCAAATGAAACCCCACCTACGGAGAAATCATCCATAAACACCTCTATTTCTTCCTCCAACATGTCTCAAAAATGCTCATCATGCATCTTTGGAAAGCTGCGGGGGCATTACAAAGGCCAAAGGGCATTCTCTTATAGGCAAAGGTCCCATAGGGGCATGTAAATGTTGTGTTCTCTTGATCTTTGGGGTGGATTGGAATTTGGAAAAATCCCGAATAGCCATCAAGGAAGCAATAGAACTTGTGCCTTGTTAGTCTCTCTAACTTTTGATCAATTAATGGAAGAGGAAAGTGATCCTTTTTGGTGGATGTATTTAGACGTCTATAGTCTATACACATCCTCCAACCGGTGACCGTCCTAGTTTGAATGAGCTCACCACTCTCATTCTTGACTACGGTCATACCCCCCTTCTTAGGAACGACATGAACGGGAAAAACCCACCTAGAGCTTGAGATGGGGAATATGATTCACGCATCCAAGAGCTTGGTGATTTCTTTTTTAACCACCTCTCCCATTTAAGGGTGTAGCTTTCTTTGTCATTCAACAGAAGGAAGGGTTCCTTCCTCAAGCGTTATGTGGTGTGTACACAAAGCGGGGCTTATACTTTTAAGATCATCTATAGTATAGCCCAAAGCACCTTGGTACTTTCTCAAAACACAACATAACGCTTGAGCTTGGCTCTCGCTCAAGGATGCACTAACAATTACGGGGAAAGTGGAATTTGGGCCTATGAATTCGTACCTAAGGTGTGATGGTAGAGGTTTGAGCTCTACCATAGGCACACCTTTACCTTCTTTTGTTGCGGCCGCTTGCAAAGCTTCATGGCTTGAGATCTTCAAGCACAATTGTTCATCCACTTCCTCCTTGCTTCCATTAAGCAATTCCTCATACAATGCTACCTCCTTGCATGGTACACCTAGCTTGTCTTTGTTCAACAAAACATTCTCAAGAGTATCGTTAAAGGTGAGCAAGTGCTCATGCGTGGAAGACACAACATGATCAAGAGAGTCAATCAACATGCAATTTTCAAAAGAAGAACTTGGATATTTCATGCTTTCATTCAAATCGAAGTCTATGACCTCATCTCCTACCTTAAGGGAAATCTTTGCACACTTTACATCTATCATAGCACCCGAGGTAGCAAGAAAGGGTCTACCTAGAATAATTGGAATGGTAGCATCTTCATCCATTTCTAAGACAACAAAATCCACCGGGAACACAAACTTCCCAACCCTCAATGGAACATCTTCCACTTTACCTTTTGGAAACTTGATTGACCTATCGGCTAATTGCAAGGTAATGTAAGAAGGTAAGAGTTCCCCTAGATCAAGTCTTTGATAAACCGAATATGGCATTAAGCTTACACTAGCTCCTAAGTCACATAAGGCATTATCAAATTGCATTTTTTTTAATAGCACAAGGGATGGATAAGTTTCCGGGGTCTTTCAACTTAGGTGGCATTTTGTTCATGAAGATCGCACTACAATTTTCAGTCAAATTGATTGTCTCCACAACAACGCAAGTCCTCTTTCCGCTCAAAATGTCTTTGAGGAATTTGGCATAATTAGGCATTTGGTTGACCACATCGGTGAAAGGTAGAGAAAGGTGAAGTTGTTTGAGCATATCAATAAATCTCCCAAATTGCTCATCCAATTTGTGTCTCATGAATTTTTTGGGATAAGGGAGCTTGGGTTTCACAATCTCTTTCTCTACACTCACCATTCTTGGTGTCTCAACCACAACCTCATCTAAAGATGCTCTACTTCCCTCATTCACAACCAAAGCTTCCTTGGGGACCTCCTTGTTATCACTCCTCCTAGGCAATCTCTCCTCAAGAACCTTACCACTCCTTGTAACAATAGCATTCACGGGTTTCTTGGGATCTAGGCCTTGAGAAGGTAAAGAAGAAGGGCTTTCTTGGTCTTTCAAAGCACTAGCAAGTTGAGAAATTTGGTTTTCGAGCATTTTGTTGTGGGTCAACATTTCATTGAACTTCTTGTCACTAACGGCCATATATGTGTTCAACAACTTGGTTAGATTTTCAATTATTTGCTCCAAATTGGTCCTAGAAAAAGATTGTGAATAGGAATTTTCACCTTGAGTCTTTGGAACAAATCCGGGTGGGGGACCTCTTTGAGAATTATTTTGAAAATTGCCCCTACCTTGATTGTTCCAATTACCCCTATTTTTATTTTGACCATAACCTTGATTATGGTTTCCACTATCTTGGTTATGATTTCCATAACTTTGGTTTTGATTATCATAATTTTGGTTTTGATTTTGACTACTATAACCTTGATTGTTATAGTTGCCACGAGAACTTTGGTTCCCTTGGTTCCTATAAACACCACCTTGATTATAGTTGTCAAAATTTCCTTGGTTTTGGTAATTCCTATTCCATTGACCTCTTTGATTATCAAACCTTTGCACATTATTATTTGACACATAATTCACATGCTCACTCTCACTATTATCGAAATCATCACCACATTCCGGAGAAGCATGAGGGCAATTATAAGAGTCATGATCATAAGATCCACATGCATCACAAAACAAGTAACCACTAGGCATATTATTTGAAGAGGGAGGGGATTGAGAGTTATAAATGGTACCTCTCCCCTTAAATTAGGAGGAAGAATTCGAAGCTTGAGAAGCAAAGGAACCTTCCAACTTGGCCTTGATTGCGGTCATTTCATTCCCCAAGGTTGTCATTTGTGAGGATAAGTTGTTGATTTCATTTAGATGGTCTATAGAGTACACCGAAGAACCACTCTTGGTAGTTGAATCCCTCTCACCATCTTGCCAATCTCTGTAGTACTTAACCACGTCCTCTATAATGTCCACCACTTCCTCTTCAGTCTGATTCATTATGGGACCCCTAGCACCCCCATCAAGGCATGATTTGCCTTGAGGACTTAGGCCACCATAGAAAATTTGAATGACTTGATAAGTTGGAATTCCGTGGTGAGGACATTCCCTTTGATACTCTTAAAACCTCTCCCATGCTTCGTAGAGGCTTTCATTAGGTCTTTGCTTGAACCCTTGAATCAAAGCTCTAGCCTCCGCCGTTTTCTTTTGTGGGTAGAATCGGGACAAGAATTCCTTGGTGACTTCGTCCCATATTCGAAGAGAATTTGGCTTTACCTCCTTATCCAACCACTCCAAGGCTCGGCCTATGAGAGAAAATGGAGAAAACTTTTGCCGGATGAATTCTTGAGAAACTTTGTTCACTTTGACAGTGTTGCAATACTTTTCGAACTCCTTGAGATGTTTCAACGGACTCTCATTCTTAGCTCCGCTATATTGTCTCCTTTCGATCAAAGGGATCATAGCCAGCTTAATTTCGAAGTCATTCGCTGGTGTTGTAGGTGGAGCAATTTTGGCAGAGGAATAAACTAGTCGTTAATTGCTTATCCCAAAATCAAACACTATTTATAAAATCCTAAACCAACCTAAAACGAGTATAGGTAAGTATAGGGTCGAACCCAAAGGAGTTAGTTGGTGTTCTCATTAGCCTAAATCAAGCTATTTCTGAGATTGAAGTGAGAAAATGGTTGGTGTTATGATAGCAAAACTAGACTAATCAAGTAATTCAATAAGCTAAATGCTAGGGATATTGGTTCCACATGCTAATTCAATAATCGTGCTAATCGACAATTTTTTCAATTAATTCAAGCATTGCAAAGGACAAACAATAGTAGCAATCAAGAGAGTAGCTATCTCCTAGAGGCCAAACTACGGGTCACTATGAGTGGCTAATCAAGGAAATTCATAATTGAACTCAATCAATTAAAGTAATCCTCAAATTGATGGATCATGTCATTAAGAAATGCAATGCAATCTAGATTAATCATATAGGTTGATAATTCCTAATCTAATTAATCACATGCAAAACTATGTCGACCAATTTAATTGCAACAACAATTCAATCAATCAAAGATCATCAACTAGCACAAATTATCAATCAAGCATGCTTCCCCTTCTCCCTAGCAACTAATCTACTCACTAATAATGGTGTAACTCAAGAACAAATCACTACAATTAGCATTGATCATCATTCTAAATCAAAATCAAGAGGAAGCAATATCAACTACAATATCTAATTCAAATCCAAACAAACAATCAAAGATGAAACTAAATCAATCAAGTAAGAGATGAACTAGAAGAAGAAAATCTTACTAACATTAATGATTGAAAATGAACAAATCCAAGCACAATTAATCCAATGTTGAAATACAAATTCAATACCAAGAACTTCTCTCTAATTTCTCTCTCTAGAATTAAGCTAATGAAAATTATCTAAAAGTTAAGTTCAAAAAAGGAATTACAATTGTATTTATAGACAAAGAAGAAAAACGGGATTCCCGCGCCCTCTCCAATAAACCCCGCGCCCGCGGAAAAATGGGTATGGAACCCATTAAAAATTCCGCGGGCTTCCTTGGCAACACCCGCGCTCGCGGGTCTTCAAGCCCGCGCCTGCAAGTCTTCTAGCCCGCGCCCGCGACAAAAGCACCTGCGCCTGCGGCATAAGCGCGACGAATCCCCTGCTCCCAAAGGATGATCAGAGGGCCGCGGTCTCTCAGGTATGAGCCCGCGGAAAGTTCCTGGTCAAAATCTTCAACTTTTGTGCAAATGAGCCCGCGCCCGCGGCAGACTGGCAGGGCTTGATGCCCTCTCCAAGCCAATTATTTCCTCCTTGCTTAGTCATTATAGCCCAACATGATTCCCTTGCAAAGACAAATCTTAGATACCTACAAAAACAAACAACGAAAAGGAATAAAAGGGAAAAAGAACCAAATAAAAGGAAAACACGAACAAAACACGAAAAACAAAAGGAAAGAAAGAAAGAAGGGGATTAAAGGAAAAAGGACCAAAAATAAGATAAAAAAGCATAAAAAGGAAGATGAAATCATCCTAAAAGACTACCCTATGAGTGCCATAAATGACATTCATCAGAGGGCAATTACTCACTATTAATTTAATTAATTTAAATTAATCTTGAGTTTTTTTGACAAAATAAAAGGGAGTTGGAAAAAATGAATATAATTTCAATAAAGATTCCAACTTTAATGCTTGTGAATCCTTGAAAAATTATATCTTCCAATATGAAGATAAACAATTTTTCTATCACAAAGTTTCAAACTTTAGGATTCCAATCAACTAAAAAATGATTAAATATTCATGGAATTTAGTAATATAAAGTTTCAATAACTTATCAAAATTAAAGATGAATATTTAATACTTGGAAGCCTCAAAGAACAACAATTTCACACTTAATGCAATTAGTTTGCAATTATGTGAAAAATAAAACCAATCATTCAAGCACAAATTACTACCAAGTAATCATGCCTAAAGAGGTTTAAAATTGTATATAAAATAAGTATTGAACCAATTAAATAACCACCATAAATATGTAATAAATTTTCAAGGTTAGAAAGACTTAAAATTTTTCGTAAAAACGAAAAATCCTTCGAAAATAGCATTTCTAGTCGTTGTTTGGCTAAAAACCGAGCCCTAAGGGGCAAAAACCATTTCCAGAACGCCTTTTCCACCAAAAATTTACTATTTTTGGGTCGAAATCTGAGTTCAGGGCTTAAGGTAGCTTAAATATGAGATTAAAATAGATAATACGAGCTACTAATCTAATTAGCAACTTATACCAGAAAATTAAGCCATAAAAAACACCTTGAAAAATATTATGATTTTAAAAATAAACGAGTGTGGCTCCGATACCGCTGTTGGGGTTTGGTAAGTCAAACTTTCCGCGGAAATGACCCCGACCCAAAGAACCACTCGCAATTAATAAAACCATAAAGCATAACATATAAACATAAAAGGATAGAATCGTAATTTACCTTTGACGTGTGTGCTTCGCCCGACCTAATGGGCTCTTACTTGAAAGCTTTAACCCCGCTCACACGTGAGCCTCCAACGGTATCCACCCAGAAAGGACGAACGCCAACTTTTAGGTCCGCTACCTTGGAGTTAGCAAGGTCCGACCAAAACCCGAGTGATTAAATGAGTTCAAAGGTTTTCACAATGGTAATGCCTTTTTCAACTCTCACCCAAGCAAAGAATTCTGAAGCCATGCTCTAGCTATTTATAAGGAAGAATAGCTTGTGAATTCCACTCATCTTTCAATGTGCGAGTTTTTCACAAAAAGATCCCACATGGAAAGATTGATGAATTCAATCCTTAGTTAAATAAACCAAGGAAAAAATAAGAAGTTAGGTGAGGACCACTTTCCTACTTGGTCCCCAAGGCAATTCACATTCAATGTGAACTAACCATGTGTCACCCAACCTTGAGCCCCAAGTTGGGTTCGGTTGGGCCATTATATTTTTGCCCGTGTCCATGACCCATCACCCAGGTCCACGGCCTCTTGCCACACGTGCAGCCACCATGGGAAGTTTCCACGTGGCACGCTGCCAACTAGGCGGCTGCCACTTGGCAGCTGCCACGTGTGCTGCCACAAGGCGCTTTTCCATGTGTGCTGCCACGTTGCACGCACCTATTTGGCGCGCTTTTTAAGCCTTTTGCGTGGCTAGGATTTTACTTGTTACTTGAAGCATTTTTCGGTCACGCTAAATCCAAAATTTTGGCTCAACATTTGAGATTCTCCAACGCTCGGTTTCGACGCTCCAAGCTCGAATTTCCGACGTCTAAATGTTTAACACTGGGGCGACGAATTAATTTCTTCCGAATTAATTCGTCGAGTCGGTTCGTATATTCGCTAGGGTGTGACCCGAAGGGTTTTGTCAAGATTAAGGTGTAATATTAATTATACATTAATATTACTGATCGGAAGCGGCTTCCACCCAGGCATTCCGATCACTTGACCTTTCTGAATATTTTAGCTTTCTAATAATTCTAAACCTGTTATCAAAATAATACACTTGTTCGAAGGAAACCATTCCTTTCATTACGTGATAGTCTTCTGCAAGCCTGAGAGCACTATTGAAGATTGCTTCGCCTGAAACGACCTTCTGCCACCTTGTAACCATCTTCTGTAAGCTAGAGAAACATGATCGATGATAACTCCGCTTAAAGCCATCCTTAGTTGTTTGTGACAACCCTCCACTAGCTAGGGAACGCCGTCGAAGATAACTCCGTGTGCAGCCATCTTTAGTTTTGCGATAATATTCTGAAGAAAATTAGCGAAGATCAACGCTTGTCGATCCTTAAATCTTGCTTGAACTTTGATGCCGTAATATTTGCTGTAATTTCCACGGTGCTAGTATGTCGGCGCCTTTTGCTTCTTGTGAACCATTATGTCAGTGCCTTTGCTGTTTATGAACCATTATGTCGGAGCCTTTGTGGTGAGCCAATGTTTAGGCGCTTTGAGCCAAGTGAGACGATCTTTTATCAGGTCTATCACCTAGTGTGATTATAATCGAGCCGATTACATCATCATGTCAAATTGCTTATAGGAGTTAACTGGCTTACCAAGGAACCCTAACTGGTGCATGCAATCGGGATTTTTTAATAAATCCCTTTTCTTCTTCATTTCGCTGTTTGCTGCTGCTGTTGTTTGCGATTTGCTCTAAGCTTCAAATTACTCGTTCTCTCTCAATTCTCAACCAAATTCACTCAAACATCTTGCAAATAAAAGCTTATTTCATCTAGTCTCCCGATCTATGTAAGTTTTCTTCAAACTCACTCGGATTTTGCTGCATTTGCGTATGTTAGTTCTTGAATTTTTTGAAAATTCGAAACTTACTTTGCTTAATTTGCTTTGATGTTGGATTTTATGCCATGAAATTGCTTGATTATGTTTGTATCTTGCCTTGGGAATGTTTTGATACTTTCTTGACACAATTTGGTGGAGAAACGAACAATTCACCATTGTTGAACCCCTCAAGGACGTGAGAACAATGTGGCTTGTTCTTCGCGTTTTTGTTAGCTATTCTTGTACAATTTGTCACCATAGTTGTCATAGTATTGCAAGAAATTGTTTGATTGCTTGAAAATTCTATTTATGCTTGAATTGAATTTATCCTATGTTTTTGTACTAGGTACTTGTAGGAGATTATAGGTACTACGTAGCGGAAATAAACATGAATCATATTCATACAATAGCTAATCCCAAGATCTAATGCATAACACATAAAGAACATATAATCGTACCTTTGAAACGTGAATCCACCACTAGTGGAAAAATTGGCATTTGTTACACCCTATTTGTAACGGGCAAAATATTTGATCGTTACGGAAAAACTTATTCGTAACGGGTAAACAAATGTCCGTTACAAAAAATTAATAATTGTAACGGGCAAATAAATGCCTGTTACGAATAGTTATTAATTGTAACGGACAAATATAAAGCCCGTTACAACTAAATAACTCTCTAGGGTTAAATGTTCGATCTTTTCCCACTTCCCCAGCCGCATTTCTTCCTCACTCCTCTTCTGTTTCTCTCTCCTCAAACCACTCTCTCTTTCTGCATCTTTCTTCTTCCTCACTCATCTACTCTTTCTCTCTCCTCAAATCACTCACTTTCTCTACTCAAACTAGAAAATTGTCAATAGCTAAAACTCACGAGCGATTTGCTCAAGAAGATTAGGGAGATCGAGGCCGATGAGACGTTGTCTGAGCCTGAAAAGGCGAAGAAGCGTCAGAACCTTCTGGGTGCGGTTAGATCCGGAGCAAGCATCGATTGCCCACAACCACCGTCGCCGGCGTCGTCAATTTGAACCAAATATAAAACAACAACAACAAACTTGAATCAATTACTGATTCAAAAATAAAAAATTTGATGATAGGGTTTCTGGGTTCTTTAGCTTTGCGTTTCGGTCCAATTATTTAGGTTAAATGCCTTGATTTTTTTGGGTTTAATATATGTAATATTGTTCGAAAAATTACTCCATTTTTACTCACGATCCACTCTTCAAATCCTATTATTTTAGGGTTAGGGTTTTCTAAATGGACCCAGTTGCTTCGGTTGTCAATAATTTAAAATCGTTTGCAAAATGCGGCCAAGATCTTATCACCGGCGTCACTCGCCGCCGGCAGAATTAGTCCCGTTAAAATCCGGTACTTTTTTTGTTTCTCACTTCTGTTTTAATTTCTGTATATTATAATTTTGTTTGGCCTTGTTAATTTCTCAAATTGGATGCTGTAATGTTGTAAAATGCTGAATTTGATCTTGTTTCCAGCTTATTATATGCTAATTTATATATTTTTTTTAATTATTGATTTGATAGTGTCAAATTTGATCTTAATTGCTTGACTTGCTTTAGTTTCTGCCAATTTTACTCAGCAATTATCATTTTAGCTAGTACAATTTGATCTTTATTTGAAGTTTTATAGAATATATGTTTTTTTTTTTGGTTTTTCTTTTGAAATTTGATTAACTGATCTTAATACGTATAAAGTTCACTATGATGTACATATGTTCTTTACAGAGTATGTGTTCCCTTGGGGGCTAACTCCCTTTTTATTTGTATTGCCATTTGGAGTTTTTGAACAATTGAACCCCATATATGCACTTGAGTGCTGTTCAACATTGGGAAAAAGAGCAAAGTTCCATTTTCCACTTCTAGGAAGTCACTTTATTTGTTGCCAATTGGCTTTAAGGCGAAGCCTCACTTAGTCTTATCCTAGATTGTTGCAAATTGTGATTACATATTTCATCTTGTTGCTATCACATAATACTCGATTTCTGTATGTGACACTAGTTATGTTTTAGTTTCATTTGTATGTGTTGCCATTCATTGGCCCCTGAGGAGATCATGGAATTGACACTAAAATGAGTGTTTTGCCAGACATATGATTTTGATGCTGATGTGCATTTTCTTCTCCAGTCTTTTGAAAATTTCTTTGCTTGTCTACCTTTTTTTAGGTACAAAGACGTCTTGCACAAAACTGTGAGGCTGCTCGCAAAATTCGTATGTGGAAAAAGGTGGGAAGAGAAGTGTTACAAGTTTAATGAGTTGTGGTACTTGTTTTCTGCTGATCTAATTCTTCTTGAAATTTGTTATTTATAGGTCAATATTGATGCAAATGGAGCAAGAGCTTGAACGAGTGAGATAACAGGTATGATGATAATTGACATGATTCTCATTGCCCTTCTTATCTATTATAGATGTGTTTCCTAAAGACTGCATCTTTAATCAAAATGCTAAACACATCCTTGAATGGTTGATTCCAGGGTACGCTTGTGAGCAATGGTATTGACCCGCTTCCTTTCTCTACCACTGTAAATTCAGGTCTGCCTTCCAATATGTCTGCTTCTAGCATTCTTCTACTTAAAATTTATGTCTTTTGAAAAACTACTAATTCAATTAGTTGTTTGTGTAATATATAGCTGCAAATTAAGTCATTATTTTAAGAATGCACGTATTACTTATTCAATCATTTAAAAAAATAAAAAAACTGCTAAGTGGAGTAAGGTTTAATAAATTAAAACGGACCAGTAAAGAGTCTTTTGAATAATAGCCTTCTTATTTTGAATTGTAGAATTCTACAGTTGCATTGCTTGATATACCAGCAATCTATTTTCAAACAAGATCAATTTAAGTCATTTGAAAGTTGTAAGTAGAGTGATGAGTATAGCCTTTTATTGTTAATTGATATTGAGATAGACTATAAAACTATACTGAAGTAAAGTCAGACTACATTGCTGCCAAAAAAAAAAAAGAAAAAAGAGTCAAACTATTGGGAACTTGTGACTCCAAATTGTCTCTTGATCTCATTTCCTATCTCCATTACTAGATCCTATGCATTCATCCGGATTAACCAATATGGGGTTATTTTTGGTGCATACATATTAAGCTTACTTTAATTTTAAAACATGAGACTTATGCATTCTTTAATTATAGTTTTTTTTTTTCCTTTTTAGGGATTGTTGCATTTGAGATGGAGTATGGATATTCGGTGAGGAGCAGAATAAACAGATTTGCGAACTCAGAAATGCATTGAATACCCATATAACCGATGTTGAACTTGGGATTCTGGTAGATAGTGGCATGAAGCACTATTATGATCTTTTTCAATTGAAGGCAGGTGCAGCAAAGGCCGACGTATTCTATATCATTTACTAATGCATTGAATACCCATATAATCGATGTTAATCCTTGCACTGCATAGAAGTATAGAATTATTATGTTGAAGTTTTTGGTTTGAGGAATGTTTTTATCACTAAAGGGGTTTGATTGGCATTATTTCCTATGGGACTCGATGAATTTTAGATGTTCCTTCTCATGTAAATCAGATTTCTTGAATGCATTGATTTGCTTTTTAAAAATCTTTTTTAATTGAATTTTACCTTTTGCTGACAATCAATTGTGTTTGTTTCTATTACAGATAATGCTGGAGTAATTGTCAACCCCAAGGGTGAAATGAAAGGTATGTGATTGCACCAACTTTGAATATTATAGGGGATCTTTGTGACTATATTTGAGCCTTTGTTAGTTCGGGAGTAGTTTAACATAGTAGCTTAGAATTTCATGGAATTTGGGTAGACTATTCAATTTCCATGAAACCTGAATTTACCTAAATTTACATGGAATGTGTAACATGCATATCAGCTTATGTAATGGTTCAAAAAAAAAATATTCTTAAGTGAGGACTGGGTAGGTAGGTGAAGTAAACTTCCCTTGTCATCAAAATTTTGTTACAAAGATTTTCCTTGCCATTTATCAATGGAACCTTTTGCACCATATATCCCATTTCTTGCTATGTTGATTTATGATCCAAAACACAACACAATCTTGTGAATTAATGTTGTACAAGTTGCTTCATACATCTTTCGACTTGTACACAATCAACCCTTTTCTGTTTTTGTTAACTGAAAAAAGTCTATTGACTAGTGTTGCCGCAGAACATTTCTCACATGTTTTGAGACAAGCATCGGATGAGTTGACGTGTTTAGGTGTGAACTCTCTATTATTTTGATATGGCTACATTTCAGTGTATATGTTTATAACATTTGTCTGAGATGTAAAGCATGAGAAACTTCTTCACCTCTGTGGGTGTGTTCTGAACAAACTGAACATAAAAAGCTTATTATGCCAACAATTTTACTGTATATGAAGAAGTTTACTTTTCTGCTTATTGCTGATTACAATATAATTGTTTATATATCCCCGTCTTAATCCATCTCTCTGTGTTTCAGGATCTGCTATTACTGGTCCCATTGCAAAGGAGTGTGCTGATTTGTGGCCAAGGATTGCTAGTGCTTCCAATGCCATTGTCTAAGAGATGTTGTTCAGAGTTTCCAATTTTGTTTTGCTATAATTCTAAATGTTTATAGTTGGATAAATGAACAATGCCGGTTTGGTAGGATGTGTTAAGTCAATCTGTGAGTTTGCAAGATATTAGTTGATTGTATATAATTTATACTATATTTGTATAAAATATAAATCTCTCATTATTAATTGATAAAATAGTGTGCAAAGCAATCCATCATTTGCTGGATTTTTTTTTTAATTAGATCACACACTATTTGTAACGGGTAGATTTTAGGCCCGTTACAAATAAGTAACTATTCGTAACGGGCAAAACATGTTCTGTTAAGAATAACGGGGTTATTCGTAATGGACATTTGGATGCCCGTTAAAAATAACGGGGTTATTCATAACGGACATTGGATGCCCGTTACAAATAACGGAGTTATTCGTAATGGGCATTTCAAATGTCCGTTACAAATAACCCTGTTATTCGTAACGGGCACTTGTTTTCCCGTTACGAATAACAACTTATTTGTAACGGGCAAGTGTCCGTTATAAATAACATTTGCTATCCATAACGGCCGCATACGTAACGGTCATTGCCCATTACGGATGGGATGTTTTAGCCCGTTACGGGTAGGCTTTTTTCCACTAGTGCACGTGCGATCGAGCAAGAGCAATGGGAGATAAAGAACCCCAAGTGTGATACCTCTTCTTGGTCCATGGGCACAAATTAAGACCACCACTTATGCTATTTAGTTGCAATTGAAGCCTTCAATTGACCTTCTATGGAGAAGAGCGAGCAACGAACCACCATGAACCACCACGAACCACCACACATGCCACCAAGGGTGGCCGTCCATAAGGACGAGGGGGGGGGGAGAGATAGCTGTGTGATAAAGAGAGGAATTAGGGTTTTGGGATTGCTTGCCTTGATGTCAAAATACACTGTGTGTGAATTATGACTGCTTTCTTGCAATCCAAGGCAAGGTTCTTATTTATAGATCTCATCTCTAAATAAGAGCCTATGTCAAAAGCCCAAAACCTAATTCTAATCTAACTATGCTAGCCCAATCCATTTCATGATTAGTTAAATGCTCATGAGGCCCATTAATGGGCCTCTAACTTGCTTAACCTAATACCCTTGTGTGTGACCTCATAGGATCCATTCTAGCGGGTTTTGTATTATTTGACTAGTCCAAAGATCATCTCTCATAGTCTAGCAACATATGATGACGCCCCAAAAGAACGAACGTATTATTTCCATAATAGTGATCCTTGATATATCTAGTAATTGCACTTATCGAAGACATAACTCCTTCAATCTCCCACTTGTCTGAGACAAGTGCGCAATATTCAAATTCCTTAAGTCAATGTGTGTCGATTTGATAATATGATTGCATCTCATGTCGTGATCATATTAGTCTACAAATCATTTCTTGAAAAACTGAGTTAGATTGACATAACAAATTACTACTATGTAATGCATTTAAACACGACCATGCATTTTCTGAATCCTCCCTCTTCAAGGGGCCAAGTCACATTCCTAATTAAATAGGTAGACTCAATCCAATCTTGTGGTAACCAAAGCTCCCACTCAACTTTTGAAGTAACTGGGAAACATCCTTTATAATCTCCAGTTACAGGCAACGTTTGAATGTACCACAGTCAGATCAGCCATTGAATGGAATCAATGTTCCACTCATGACAAAGGAATCCACTAATATATCCATGTGATTGACCGAGCTTCACTACACTCCTATAGCCTATGAAACTGCGCTATCCAATCAATTTTACATGCTAGACCATTAATTGAAATCATTTATGTCCAATTTAATGATTTCGAACTAGGAACTTAAATAATATATGAATTTAATTCACCTGTGGGGTTTCATTCATTAGGTCATCAACCTGATGAGCCCATCAATTCATTATTATTTTGGACATTTTATTTAATATTGAAACCACGATTAAATAAGATTGAAACTTTGTTTTAATTGATAAACATAATTCTGCAAGTTAATGTATTACTTATGTAATATGTTTTCTCAAAATATACACAACTTAAATTACATAACTTGCTTCAATCCAAGAACCTTAGTATGACTCTCATACCTTGGTTATGGAAGGGGTTTATTAAGTAGAGTTCATGAGACATTCTCATATATATGAGTTTCTGCAATTTCTAAATTTTAAAATCACATTAATATCCATATATTAAGAATTTTCCTTCGCCCTTTCGCAAGGAATTTAGTAATTTCTAAATTTTATATGAGTATTGTCCATGACATCCATGATGCATCCTTTGCATACTGCATAAGGATCATCACTCAAAACCTTAATTTCATCAACCTTTCTTAAAGCATTGAATCATTGATCAATGTGACATGTTACATGGGATGGAAACTCCTTTCAATTTAATGTTGAACCTTATAAGAATCTTATCAATATAAGTTTCTTAACCAAACTCAAACATACTTCAAAATCTATCACTATAGATCTTGAATCCCAATTGTACTCATCTTCCTCTTCCGTGTTTTCAAAATGTATTAACCATCACTTGACAATTCAAGAAATGAATTATCACTCTTTATACTAGACCAAAAAGACTGTATAGCTGTCACTACACATCATGTACACACACGACATTTTTTTCATTTTACGAGAACATCAAACAATTTGATTAACTCACAAAATTAAGAACATTAACTCCCTGATGCTAACCTCAATCCATTAAGGATCTTTTATGCATCCCTAGGATTATTGTTTTCAAACTTTTGATTGTATCATATACAGATCTTCTTTCATGAACAATTTCAAGATTGCGTTTTGAAATCCATCTACCAAATCTTATAAGGTAGAAATCATTAAAATATCTTTAATAGATCTTTGCAAAATGACTAATGTAAAGGTTTCATCTTAATCATAGTCATACAATGAATTAGTTGAATCCTTTAACAAGTATTTGATTAGTTAGAAAACATTTTTTCTTTCTTGTCTGTTTTGCTTATAATGGGTCTTACCCAATTAGGCAAATTATTCAAGTGTCATACGCTTGCTTACAAACTTAGAATCTATTTCAGATCTCCTGGTTTTTAAGCTACTTGGAGTCATAACTTGTCAAATCATCTTATTACTTGCATAATCATCATGTTCCAAAATGAATATTTTAGAACTCTTAGTGAATATGAAATCATATTTCTTTGGCTAAGTTTTACACATGCTAGTCAACATTTTAGGTTTTTATGCAACAATTGAAACTTATACAACAACTTTGTTTAGTTTTCAATGAGAAACGACAATAGAGGACGTGCACTTGGAATGTACTACCTTCGATACATGGTTATTATTCCCATTACACTTAATGAGACCACACGTTGTCATTTGTACCATGAGGTGAATCATGCTCATATTGTTGCTTTGATTCAATTTCTTCTCAAATTTCTTCAAGATTTTCGAAATCATTTTTCTTGAACTCTTTCAAGGCTCTCAAACTTTTTGAGATTCTTATACTCCCACTTGCCTTCTGAGGAGACATATTTAGCATAGGGTGAACCAACCATGGTTTGAACCACGTTTGTTTGTTTCTTTTCTCGAACTCTTTTGAGATTTATACTACTCCCACTTGACCTTTTGGAACAATTTCCATAAGGGCACCTACTTGAGCAACAAATATTTTATGCTAAATATGATTTGTGTAGTAGTACCCCATGCTTTATATAGGAATTGCTCATGCAGTAAACGATTTAATGCAACTTTTATTCTTTGCTTTGTAGAAAGACTTTATAAGAACTTTTCTTATCCATATCACATATGAAACCTTTGCTACATTTTGTTTTGACCTATGTTTCTTTGTTTAGTTTTGTAGCTTATATTAAAAGTATATCCCTTGAACAATGGTTGGAAGATAGGTAATTTACATCCATTATCAAAATATATCTCATATAGATTGATAGCTCTTTTTTATGAGCATTTCATAAGATTTTCTTTTGGATTTTGTTGTAAAACGATTTCACAACTCTTGGATATTTATCAAGGTCTTGTCTTAAATTCTCATTATCACGATCATATCGCAATACTTTTAATGTGTTGCCAAGTACATGTCTTGACTTAAATTTTCGCAACTACAATCATATTGTAATGTAATCATTATCTTGTCAAATTGATATTGAACTTCATACTGAACATTTTAAACTTTTCAAAATTTTCTCTCTTATGCTTCAACTAAGAATAAGTAGTGATCATATCACAAATGAAGTTTCATTGTCCGTATCTAGCCTTTGAACCTTTGGTTTTTGTACATTGATATGTATTCGACCTTGAGTTCACATCATCATTTCTTTAAATTGTGACATTTCAAAATTTCAAATTAGAATGATAATTACATATATCAATGTATTCATAATCTAATGATATTGAAAATCCATCCCTTTGGATCTTTCGTATGCAATGTCATTTTCGTTCGAATTATTTGACATATTAGAGACAATTTATATATAGAAATGGTTTAATTATTTCTATCATATAGAACTTTGAACCTATTTAGAAATCTCAAAACACATTATGACTCAATAAAGCATAGAATAACATTTATTCAACGTTTTTTAATCTTCGATGCTTAGTCATTACTAACATTGAATGGTGTTTTGATAATGGCAAGAATGAATAACATTTATTTAGTTCTAGCCAATAACAAGGTAAGGTGAAATATAGGTTCTACTTGTAAAGTTGCAACTTTTGCTTCCAGACTCGTAGATTCTACTTGTGAAGTAGCAACATTTGCTTCTAATCTTGTAGATTTATTTCTCCTTTAGCCATACTTCTTCATTTAGTTAAACCTCATTCTCGATGAAAGAGAACTAAACAAGACACCATATGTCAAAGAAGTAGCAATGTGCTAAATCAATTTCTGTAATATACTTATTAAATTGGAACATTTCCATTTTTTTACCTTCCAACTATATGAGGTAGTTTCTAATCAATTGGAATTGGTCCATTTAATTAGAAACATTTATTGTTCATAACAAATTTTATCATGTAAGGAGCTCTAGGTTTGAGAAGTAGCAACTTGTTTGCATTTCTTTGTCTATAACTTCTTAATGCAATCCTCATATATTCCTAAACCTTTCCATTTGAGCCACTTAGAACATTTCTCTTAGGTTCAAAATGATGCTTTGCTTAATTTATTTAAGCACATTTTCATGATTTTTCTAAGTCTATTCTATCATTATTCATATT